CGTCACTCTTGTCGGGAAAAAAAAAAGATGTGTGTATTTGATGTTAGGTTACACAGGAATCAAATATAGCTCTCCAACTTTGGCTTCAGCAATGAGTAATCTCACTCCTGCTTTCACTTTCCTCTTCGCTGTTCTCTTTGGGTACTCTTTAAATTCATTTTGGTTTCCAATGGATGTTCTCTGTAAATAATGTTTTTGGAATCATAATTGATTTTTGATTTTGTATTTGTAAGAATGGAGAAAGTATCTATAAAGAAAAATAGCAGCATAGCCAAAATTGTGGGCACAATAGTTTCGATAGCTGGTGCACTTGTGGCTACTCTCTACCATGGCCCCATCATCTTCGCCGCATCTCAGCCGTCTCTTTATCTCCCTCAGCCTCTATCGCCGCCTCCAACACCACCGTCGAATTCTAATTGGGTCATCGGCGGAGGTCTCCTTGCCCTCGAGTACACTCTTATTGCCGTCTCTTACATCATACAGGTATAGATAAAATTAACATTGTAATGTTTTGGTCATACATGTTATATCTAGCGATTTATGTAACCAAACTTTAAGATATATTTGTATTCTTCTTAACATTTTTGGTGGTCGCAGACGCATATAATGAGGGAATATCCGTCAGAATTTGCCTTGGCACTTTCCCACAATGTCTGCGTTTCAATCTCTTGTGCATTTGTTAGTATTTTCGCCGAGAAGAACAATCCGGGTGCATGGATTATGAGATCAAAAATAATGTTGATATGCATTGTTGCAACGGTATGTAAATGTTTCTACAGTATTGATCTATTCCTAAAGATAACAGGTTACTAGTTAGCTTAGCAAGTTTGGATTTGTTGAAATGTTATATTTAGGGGATGGTAAATTCGACAGGATATGTTGTCGAGTCATGGACCGTTCGACATAAAGGGCCATTGTTTCTAGCCATGTTCAGGCCATTATCTATATTAACTGCGGTGGTGTTAGGGGCGATCTTTCTAGGCGATTCTCTCCATCTTGGAAGGTGAGAAACAAGAGTCTAGAAATCTCAATAGATTATATAGTTTATACTCACTTTCACTTCTCATTCTTTGTATTATTTGGCAGTGTAATTGGTGGAACGTTGATATCCATCGGTTTCTACACGGTTATGTGGGGAAAAGCAAAGGAAGAGAAGGCAGATATCGACACCAATGCTGCGGCACCATCACATTCGAAGAGAGTTCCTCTTTTGTTGGCCGCAGAGAAACAAGTCTAACATTGTAACACATCAAACCAGTGTAGCTACAATTTGATATCAACATTTTGATTGCCATTGTTTGTAGGCACAAACGTTTGGCCATGGCGGTTTAGCCTAATCCAATGTTCGGGGCCAATCTACTAACCTAACCGGCCGGGTTCAACTGTAAATGAATTAGTAGCTCTAGTAGTCTTTTTCTATAACCATGTACAATGGGGTGTTGAATTTTACTTGAATTGATACAACGAGGGTGTTGAACTAGGGTGTTCAGATGAGGTGGATTAAATTGTGTTGAATCTTTTCAACATGTTGAAAAATGAGTGTGGTGGGGATACGATGCCACATGCCGTATTCTGATTCATT